AAGCCTTCAGAAGGACTTTTGGTGGATTGCTGTGCTTACTGTAAACATTTGACTTACCAGAGTGTCTTGCAGGTTGGGCTTCATTCTTTATAGAGCTTGAAGCCTCACATGCAGCTGGCTGTCCATCAAATAAATTATTAAGTATGTGAAAAAGAAAAAAGCATATTCCACAGGGATGGGGTAATGACAGAGTGCTCAATGGGGGACTTAGCTGTAATTGTTAGAGTTTCCCCCTTCTCCCTCAAAGCAATAAAATCCTTAAATTAAAAAAGAATGTAGAGAAGGTGGTCTTGGGGTTGTGGATGAAGCAAACAGAGCTCTTAGTGAAAGAAAACTGTCATGGGGCTATGCATGGGGGGAGAGAGAGACAGAAAATTCCCAGCTCCACCATACAAAGAGCCATAGGGATTAGGAGTATTTCACCAGCAAGCTTTTGATTCTTTTCCCCTCTAACAAAAACATGACCTCTCCCTTGCCTACGCCCTGTCTCTGTCTGTCTCTCTCTCCCGTGGACAGGCAGACAGAAGGTCATTTCAGCTCTTGGGGAGAGCTTGGTACTGCACAGAAGTCTCTTGGATATGGAAGGAAAATGCTTTGCTTTGCCATTCCCCGAAGTCACATTATTCTTGTGCTCATGCTACACATGACTCTCTTGGAAAATCTGGGATTCATTACCTGCCTTCTGCCCTAACCTTCTGGCTTCGGAAATATGCAGAGAGTTTCGAGATTAGCTCCCGCGGCCAAACTGTGACATGGAACTGCAGTTGGCCGTGAGGCAGAAACAGGCTGTGTGTGTGGCTCCTGGTGCCCCTGACCCTGTCCCTGCCTGCACCATCCCAGCAGCTCTTGGCCAAGCAGGGCAAGGAGAGCCGGGGCAGGAATGGGCCACCAGTGCCTCTCATACCTCACTGGTGGGCAGCTTCAATTTTTGCAGCCATTTACAGACTGCAGTGGACTGGAGGAAGCAGAGCCTGACATTTGTTTTCTAGGCCACGTTTTGACAGAGTCTCAGGAGCCCCGTTTAAATTAGGTTTTCTGTCACTGTCCTTTCACTGCGTGCTGCAGGACAGGGGATCTACGAGAGGTCCTTTGCAGCAGGAGCTGCCTGGGAGCCACTCACCTCCTCTCTCCATCTCTCCGGCGTCTCCCTCAGACTTTGGGCAGCCAGGAGGGGGTCCAAGCAGACTTTTTGGGGTGCACATGCACTCAGGGGATGTAAAGGGTGGCAAAAGGAGTGGCCTGTCAGCAGCAGGGCCCTCGCTCAATGTCAGAGGCTGGTTTGAAAGTCGGTCACTGACGTCAGTTCTGTCGCTGTAGGAAGTATCGAGTTAAACTGATAATTATCTACAGCACGTGTACGAAGTATGAACCTTTTGATGTTCAGGCTCATATGTTTTGAGTTAGCCAGCACATCTTAATCAGATTTTCTTTTCCTTTTAAATGAAGATTTGAAGCTTTCTTATCTCCCTTTCGCTTCTCCTCCTTTGAACTTTTACTTCACTGAAATTTTCACAGACGCAGCCTTTCCTCAGCCAGGTCCCACCAGCTCCCATCTACAAAGCCAGCTCAGAAAGGTAAAATGGAAAGTGTTGTTGGGTTTGCAGTAACAGGTTTGATACAACTTGAAAACAAAGAGCTCTTCGTCACTGCTTTTCTCTCTGCAATATTAAAATGTATTTTGTCAATGGCACTGGGCAGTGGAAGGGGAAGAAAGAAAGAGGAGAAAATAAGACCCTTAAAAGAGACTGTACTGAGTTCAATAAAAGTCTGCCTTTCTTGAACATGAGCAATTTCCTCACTGGTGCAGGAAGTCTGCAGAAAGCAAACCCTAAAACTCATCGGCTCTGCTTGCAAAATTCAGTGTCTTTGTCCTAACCACAAACACTTCACCAGCACCCCACCCGCCACAAAACACCATAGCTCATTCTCTCCATGGCCCTCCAAGTTTTTCACAGATATTAGTCAACGTTTTTATTTTATTATTACAGCTTTACTTTATTACTCTCTAGTTTTTAATAGAATAAGTCACTCATGCTGCTTTAGCTCAGCTTTTTTTTGTTATTATTATTTATAACCCAATCTGATTTAATAGTTGCATTTCTGACTGAATGGAGGGAGAAAAAGGGTGTAATCGGCTCATTTCAAAATAGCTTCTGAAATGTTTCTTCATCACTTTTAATGGCCTGCATACTCCTGAGGGTCTCAAGTGTTGGCCGGTGTTTGACTTGCTGTAGCTTGGTCTGGGACAGAAAACTTTACCACTGCACCACACTGCAACTCCCCTGGACTTGTCCCTCCACCATTCACATCATGCCTGTTGTGATCTTTTCATCTCTTTCCCTGCATGAGACTGGATGGGATCTCCACCATCACTGAGCTCAGGTGTCTGCTACAGTCACAACCCTCTCCTACCACCCTTTCCATAAGCTCTGTGAGCTCCAAAGTTAGGGATTTGCTTCCTGCCTCTGCCAGGAGGCACATGCCCGCCTTGGAGGCTGGTGCCTCTGATGGCCACTGCCGTTGATGTGAAGGCACCTTCTCACCATTCCAAGCCTCAGGCTGGCATGTGCCTCCCCACTCTTCAGGACGAGGAATGGCTACAGGTTGGATCCTGCCTGGTGCCAGTCCTGAGGTCCTGGTGGCCATCACAAGCCCTGCAATCTGGGGGATGGTGACAGAGCACATGCGATGGCTTGGCAGGATTATCTCACAGCCAGGCCAGAGTAATTTCTTAGGTGGATTACTCCCAAAGCCACAGCAAGAGGATGCCACCTCAAGAATCCCAGACAAAGCACTCCCAGGGCTGTTTCTCCATCTGTTTGCCCACCAGTAGCCAAAAGGACTAGTTCAGAGCCACCCACTGCTCAGCGTCCTGGTGATCCTCAGTGCACACCTACCCTTTGCCAGGAGGAAGGAGAGGCTGATTTTTGGAGCTGACAAGAGCTTTGGGAGGATGGTTGCATTTCATAAAGCTCCTGAGCGCTCCAAACAGCATTGTCAAAGGAGCAGGCAGTGAGCTGACAACTTTTGGGTCCATCCCAGAACAACTTGTCAGGGAAGCTTATCAGTCCAATAATCAGGTTTGATTTAAATCTTTCTCCTTCTCATCACCCTTTCTGGATTAAGTCATCTCCACCAAACAAGAGAAAGGCTGCCTTGGGAGAGGCACAGAAAGGGTCTTGTATGGGTGTTGGGGAGAGGAAGGGAAAGATAGGCAAGTCACCATCACTTCTGGGTCTTATCATCTCCATTCCAATTTTTCTGCTCCCCTGTAGTCACAAGATGACAATAATCTGGAAACCTGCAGCTTTTGAGGCCACTTACTCTGCTCTGGTCAGGTTGGGTGCTCAGGAGTCGTGCTGGCTACAGGGGGGTTTGCGACAGAGGAGCAAGAGGATCTGTGAGTCCTGATGTTTGGGGATTTTATGTACCAAGGGAGGCGATTTTGCAGGGTATTTTTCTTGATTTCACCCTCTGTTTCTCACACTGAAAGAATGCAGCTCTTTACCTGAGGCTACAAGCTAGCACAGGCTTCCCTTGTGAGTAAGCAGCACACTGGTTTGCAACATAATGCTTTTTCTGTGCGCTGCGAGGGCACGAGTACACAGGGGAGCTGGCAGGGTAACCTAGCCCTGCTCTGTTCTTTCAGCACCGTCCCACAGAAGAAAAAACGTCAGCGTGGTGTTGCCTTGCTCATGGCCTCGGAGGAGCAGGAGGGTGGGTGGGAAAGGTTATCACAGCAAAGAGAAACAAGTGGCCAAAGCTATCTGGAAAAGTCAATAAACACCACCTTAGCAGCTGGTACCACTCAGAGAAAGAGTGGTATTGCGGCATCAAGGTGAAAGAAAGGGGATCTAAACTCCTGGGGGCGGGGGACCAGGGAAAGGAGGCTTTCTTTGCGATGTGTAGAAGGGGAGGGTTTTTTCCCCCCAGCTCAGTGCTTACCCTGTGAGTGTGAGAGGGAGGTCTCTCTGTGCAATGCATGTGATCCTGCAGAGTAAGAAGGATCACTGAACGGGTGACGCAGGAAAAGGAGGATTACTCTGCATGTGATGGCAGAAGGAGGATGGAGGGGCATTCCTGCAAGGGGTGTATGGATGGGGATTACTAAGGGATTTTCTTGGGGATCTACAGAGCAAAGAAACTCCACCCTCTACCTTACACTTGGGGTAAGTGAAGGGCCATCAGAAGCTGTCACACGTATGTTAAAGTCCTGATGGCTTTCTGTCACCCTTTGAAGTATTTGTTGCTTACTGTATTGACCTAACTACTTCCATACATAGGTTTAACTGACTTTTGGGAGACTCAGCACCATTTCCAAATCTGTAGTCGAAAGGAAGAAAATGAGGCCATCTTTGTGTAAGCCAAGTGTCTGTCTCCATTGAAACAACTTAAACAGTTTGGCCACTTCCTCCTTTGTAGTCAAAATACAGTTTCTCATCCACACAAGATTTCGTAAACAAAAGGATGAGCAGTACACAGAGGTTGACACACCTCAGTGCAAGAGGCTCTAAAACCTGCTCAGTTAATGGGAAGTTGCTCCCGTTCGCTTCAGTGGGAGTCCTTCAAACACACTGAACAGACCAGAAGTGATGCTCTGCTGTGCTCATGCACTTTCAGGCCACTGTTGCCACTTTGTAACAAGCTGAAGAATTCACAAATTCACATATTTCACAAAAATAAGAGAACATGTTTTTTTGAGACCATAGTCCGTAGAGCCACATCTCCCGTGGCAGGAGAAGATAATGTGCCAAGTCCACTATAACTGTGACTTCTTTAATAGTAGTAACATAGTTCTACAGCTGTGAGAGGAAGGCTGAAGTCTGGCTGCAAGTGAGCCATTGGAAGTAGCAGCCTCTGTGAACAGTTCAGCAAAAATGGTTGAGTTTTGGCTCAGCTGTGAAGTTTCGACAATGAATAATTGCTGTTATTTATATAACACCCCCGCACAAACCATAAACGTTTGGCTCTCTGACCCTGGCCATGACCACAGAGATCTGCAGGAGATGCTCTTTCACGTCCTCCCTGTTACACTGCTCCCTTCCAGCTGCCTCAGCAAGGCTGGTCTGGGCAAGGGGGAGCAAGTGATACCCATGGCACAAATAGGGACAGACCCAGCTCCAGGTGGAGAAGCAAAGCTGGCAAGAAGCCAGACTGCAGAAAACACATGGGAACACCAAGCCTGAAGGAACAAGAAAAGGACAGAGAGAAGAACCAAAAGGATAATTGCAGGCAGGGAGTCTGAGCTGTTTGCCAGAGCAGAGGTAAGAGCAGCCTTTGTATTGTACATACAGTTTGCTATCTCTACATCCTTTCACAGAGGACACAGCACAATGCATGTGATGACAGTTGTACTGGCAGAGCAAGAGACAGAAAATTAGCAAACCCTGAAGGGGAATTACCAGTGGAGGGTCAAAGACCAGGAGGGAAAGAATGAGCAGAGAAAGCTAGGAGAAAAATTGAATATTTGCAATTAAAATTAAAAAAGCTTTAACAGAAAAAAAAACCCCAACAAGGTACATTCTTTATAAGGCTTATTTTGCCCAGTACCTTCCCTCGTCCCCATTGCACATCTTCTTTCACCTTCTTTGTCCTTCCTTGCACCCAGCACTCCCCTTCTCCTGACCCCAGCCTTTGCCTAAGGTCCCTCACTGTGCCCTGCTTACCATTTCCACTCTGTCTCCTCATCCAGTGTCCCCTCTGTCCTTGTCCATCCTGTGCTCCCAGCCCCCTCCAGTTAGCACTTTCACCCACACCAGACCTTGCTCCGATGAGGAGCTACTGCTGCCTGCTCTGTCTCCTTTCCCAAGAGCCAGTCCATGTCCCTGCTGCTCTGTCCTTTCCTCCTCAGCCCCCCCTTCAGCTCCAAATTCCTTGCACTTCTGGGTTTCCAGCTGTGAATTGTGGAATGTTTTCCCTGTTGCACAGAGATGCAGAAACCCAGGTCTGCTGGTACACGTCTCTTCCCAAACCATCCATGCTGCCTGTGTGCCTGTCCTCGGCCCAGCAAGCAGCAGCCAGTCCCTCCCCCTTTCCCTCTGTGAGAAGCCATGGAGCAGGGATGCAGAGGCAGCTCCAATCCATCCACCCCTACAGCCAAAGGTGGAAATAGCCACCTCACAACTCACAGGCTACTTTTTACATGGAGCCCAGGGGACCCTGCATCAGGCAGGGGTTCTGGCAAAGCACTTGCTCCCCTCTTCCCTCTGGGCTCCTGTGGAAGGGTCACAGCACTTCAAGGACCCTCCTCCCTCTCGTGCAGCAGCACAGGGCACGTGGGACAGGCAAGGTGCTCCATCACATCAGGAGGTGAAGTGCTGGCAGGACAGACAACAGCAGGATTATCCCTCTGGCCTGCCAGCAAGGGTGAAACTGGACAGCTGGGAAGCAAGTGGACCCTGAGTGGCCACTGCTGCAGCAGGCAAGCGTGCTTATTTTCAAAACTAAGTAGAAAGGAAAAGTACTGTCACCACGTCTCTTGCCGATGAGGCGCCACCCAGGCCCAAGCTGTGTTTTGGGTCCCTGGGCATGTCAGTTTACTGTCTCACAGTATTATCCACCTGAGACTGAGCAGATGAGGATTTACTTTCCTTTTGTTCCTCCTTCACTCCCTCTCACAGAGCAATTGCCCTCCACCACTGCCCATATGAGAGAAAAGGTCAGATCCTCTGTCAGTGGCTGGATGCCACTTCCCTGGAACTGCCACTCATAGCTGTGGCAGCTGGATGGGAACCAGGAGAAGGGTTTCAAAAAGCAGCCAATAGAGAAATGTGGCATTTTTAATGTCCTTATTGCTCAGGAGGAAAACCAAGAGCAGGTCCACAGCACGGTGTGGTGGGGCCTGGGCAGCAGGACCTGAGGTCTCCAGGGGGCTTGGCAATGATCTCTGTTGCCCTGGCTCTGCTGTGGCTCATACCCACATGAGCTGGTTTAACTCCAGCCTGCGTATTATGTATTAGTGCTTCAGTTATAGCACAAACAATCAGGCTGATCCTGCTAAGGTAAAGCAACTTTCGTTTGCAGCCGTGGATAAAATACCTGCCTTAGCCAATTTGCAGGAGCACCTGCGTCCCTGTGGCTTTCCTTCACTCCTGCCAGTGAGCCAGGAGCAAAGTAAAGTCTCTTTACGTGCTGGTGCCATGAACAGCAAAGAGATATGAGGAGAGGGAAGCCTGAACCCCCACTGACCTCTCTTTGTTTACCCTTAAAAAGAAACTCCTGCCCTTCAGGCTGTAAGCAGACTCTTATGTCCACGGACCAAAACCCACAAGCCCTGATCAAACAAATCTCAGGTGGCAGCTACAATAACACTTCTGTGTGAGGATGTGCTCCAGCGTTTGACCAACAATGTTAGATAAACAGGTAAATCTGTTAACAGTGAGAAGTGTAGGTAATTTGTTGTGGGGATTTGGGATTGCAGCCGCAGTGTCTTGAATAAAGTCTCTGAGCCATCCCTGGTTAATTAGAAACATAGCTGGGTTTTGTCAAGGCAGGTAGCTTCTCTGATGTCTGCTAATGGAATAAATTGCATTTGTTTAGACTGCATTTTTGATCTCCCTGACTGCTGGGAATAAGAACTAGACCAGGCCCTGCCATAAGCAGCTTTCTCTCCCAGTAACTCATCCCAGGACTAGAGTTGTTGCAGCCTGCCAACATCCTCTGGCTGCTGGGCATGTGTTTCCCATTGATCACACTTAGCCAGAACATGGTCTGATCCCTTATCTTGATCCTAGAGCCTGGGGTTGACCACACAACTCTGGGAAAACCAAGGAGTGCAACCTGTTTGAAGGACTTTGCTCCAGCTGTCCAAGCAGAAGCACTGGCACCTTCAAAAGGGCACCCCTGCCTTTATTGAAGGGAGAAAGCCACAGGGAAAATGGCAGCTGCTGGTTCATTGCTCCCTACTGCATCCTGCCGAGGTGTGTCCCTTGCTGCTAGAAGCACTTCTGATGAAAAATTGAAGCAGCAACTGAAGCTGAAGTGATGAAGTGAAAACACCTGCCTGCCGAGAAATGTTAAAGAACCCAGGTTTACCTGCGAGGCATTTGGAGACAGGGTCATTTATTTTCCTGGCTGCCTGCCAGCTCACCCTTCCTCTTGTGAGACCGCTGCCTTTGAGGTGCTTGGTGCCCTCTGGCCCTGCAGCTCTCCTGCCTCCAGATGGCCCAAGGAAAAAAAAAATTAAAAATGGGGAGGTTTCAGAAAGTTGCCTCCTCTGGTCTGAGAGGAGCTGACAAAAGCCAGCTGCAGAACCAGGAGCTGAACCCTTCCCTTCAGCTCTCTTGCTTCCTCTAGCTACTGTGTTGAGTGATGTTATTAGACTTGTTGCTCCCAAAAGCATCGCTTTTAGGATCAGCTCCAGAATGACTGCGGAATAAAGGCAGCTTACGATCCAGGCATAATTCCTAAGGATTCTAACCCCATCAGAGCGGTTGAATAACGAGAGCAAGAGGCAGAAACAGTCTGGAATAAAACCTTCAGCCTCCGGCACGCAGTGTTTTAATACTCCCCTGTGACCTGAAAGCCTGGCCAGAGCTACTTCACCTACCAAAGCCTGGATGTCCTCACGGGTGGGAAAGCTGTGCCTTCCTAGTGCAGCTAGGGAAGAGATTTTAGAAGAGGTTAAGACCCAATCCTCAGCAAGGTTTTCAATCCAAGGGCTTTATGGGATGTTGTGTCTACCTTCTGTCAGGGAATATGCACAAAAATGCAGAGAAACCTCCTGTTCTGCAGATACTGTCCAGGAAAATTGGGAAGGCTCACTCTAAACTGTGGCCAGGGGAAAAAACCATGCTAACAACCACTCAACAAGGCTGAATGTCCTTGGCAGCTATTAATTATTATCAGCCCTTTACTCCAGCAAAGTGTGTGAGAGGCTTTCAGATGCAGCATTCCGCAATCCCCGCACAAGCTGTTATTGATTTGGCACATAAAAAGAGGGTGATAAGTTTGTGTTTGGAGGGGGCTGGAAGGACATGAATAAAACCCTACAGCCAGGAAAGTATGTGCTTTCTTTTGAAGGACATGTTACTTTTTGCTTGTTCAGTTTAACCATTCCTTACCATCAAGGTCTCTTTCCTACTTTTGGGAGATGATTGATGGATGAAGAGGAAGCTTAGTTTTGACGTATTTCACTGAGGAAACTAGAATTAGTGGTTACTGAACACTGGCAAAGCATTTATGGATTTAGACTCAGTCCTTTCATAACCATTTTCTGAGAGCTCCTAACAAAGTTTGTCCCCATATATTTTTCCTTTGGTTCCCAGGATCCTTAGTGGTGGGACAGAAACACGCTGCAGCTGCACAGAAATGCATGGATCTCACTAGCTCATATCCTGAAGATCTTTGGTCTTTGGCACTATGGTATGCCTCTCAGTTTCCCAGCATGGCAGAAAACTGAGCCACCCCCATTCACATAATAGCCCGAAACCAACCTTGTGATTTGCCTTTAATTCGCAGTTTGCTTCCAGCCCTCTCCTGCTACTTTCCCTCCTCCTTTTGTGTTCCTCATTCACACTGTAATCAGAGGTGGGTTAACATAATGCAACTGTGAATCAAGTAACTTCCACCATCTGTGATGAATCAGAGAAGATGCAGCAGGCAGGAATGGCTCAAAGGGAGGTGATTTTTCCCTTTAGAGATTTTGAGCATGAGGGGTTCACACAGCCTCCTTCAGGCAGTCAACTGGAGTGCCTGTACATTTGGGGGGGGTGCAAACTCCCTGAGTAGCTGATGGACAGAAGCAAATACCTCCAGGTAGGGCTCAAAGCTGCTTCACAAGATAGTAAAGACTTCAAGATATGAAATCTGCTCATCTTCCTCCTCCTCCCTGGAAATGGCCTGGTCTATCACATGCACATCACACAAAGAAAATATCCATGCTAACGAGTTGATTAGTACTAGGGGATATCCCTAGGCACTGGCTGATGCTGGTACGTCCCTGCTGCTGCTACATCCACACCATCAGGGTGCTGCTTTTGGTCTGGATCTACTGGGATTCTCCCCAGAAATTCTCCCATGTGGTTTGGGAGTTGGTGGGAGTCAGTGGGTGTTTCCATCAGGCGTTTTGCAGAGGCCATGCCAAGCTGCAGGGTGAACCAGCCTGGCCGTGGCTGCTCTCTGGCAGCTGCCTGGGGAAGGCTCTCAGGGAAGTTTAATGTCTAAGCACAGACACAGCCTATTTCTCTGGGATTTCTCTTCACTTTCTTCCTCTCCTGTGCCAGAAGAGCCCTGCACAAGCCCAGCAGATGGCACTCCACCATGGTGTCACACTGAAAAGCCCCTCACAAATAACCTGGCCCCTGGGGGTGCAGGGTGGTGGGCCAGACAGCTGCTGCTGTCACGGGAAAGCCCTGCCAAGTCTGGGCACGAATTTGAGGAGTTTGAATGAGATTACTTCATTCACATATGTATGGAAATAAATAAATATGCATACCTATCTACCTACGTCTCTGCCTATATATCTGACAGGGGCAAACCTGCCAACTATTGCTAGAATACCTTCAGGGCATGAAGGGGTAGACAGTGCTCAGCACTCAGGAAGGTCTGAGGGAGGCTGTGTGTTTGCAATGTGGTAACACACTCACTGGCTCCAAAAGGCTTTGTCAGACCAAGCCTTGTGCACAACCACCATGAGGGACTGGCCCAGATTTTGGTCTGCACTGACATGGGAGGACAGCACAGCCCTTTGCAACCTGTGGCTGCCACCCAGGTCAGCCTGCCATGCCAGCTCCATCTCAGCACCCACAGCTTTAGCTCCAGAGCCATCCCTTTCTTTTTCTTTTCCCATCTTCATGAATCAGTGCTCCTTCGGCCAAAAAATATGGCTCAGCACATCTCCTCGTCAAAGTTTGAGTCAAGAAGTTAAATTCTTCATCTGCTAGTCTTCCAGAGATTGGCTTTGCAGAGCATGACAAGCTTCTCTTTATGATCGCCAGAAAATGTTAAAAAACAAAGGTGGGCCTGCCAAATTCATTCCAGTGAACAGTAAGTCTTGGCTGCACGAGTTTAGTCATCTTTTTCTGAGCTAATTCCCTCTCTTTTTATCTTTTCTGCCGGTTTTTCACCCAACTCCACGCAGTGACAGATGCTTGCAAGGACAAAGCTGCAGCCTCCTCTGGTGCCAGATGAAGCTCAGCTGTTCCCACCTCCTGCGGATGGTCGGGCTCCTTGGTGAGCTGGGGTATCACTTTTTTGCTGTGAGAAAACAGGCAATTTCTGGCTTGGAAAGAGGAAAGTTTCTGCTTGGCAGCAAACTGCTGCTCCCAGAGTCAGTGTCTGCACACAGGCTCCTCGCCTGAAAACGGAGTGGGCTCAGGGCAGATAATGTGGCATTACAGGACCGCTGAGCCAACAACCACAGCTTCCTACCAAGCATTTTAGCTTTCCCTAAGTGGCTTTGGATTTCGTCTGTCTCCTTTTTCCCTCTGACATTTCAAAAATGTTCAGATGGCTGAAAATTTGTCCTGCAGTTTTGAAACAGTTGCCTCCACCATCCCGGTTTCTCTCTTAAGGACACAAGATGACACTTCCCTGGAGATGTTCAAGGCAGGGTTGGATAGGGCTTTGAGCATCCTGGTCTAGTGAAAGGTGGCCCTGCCAAAGGCAGGGGGGTTGGAACTGGATGATCTTTAAGGTCCTTTTCAACCCAAACCATTCTATCATTCTATGACCAGAAATAAGTAATTTTGTTGCATGCAAGTAAGTGTGTGTTTTTTACTTTTAAATGTAGCTTTGAGTTGTTATAAACACAAAAAGGCAATTATTGTGCTATTGGTATCTTTTGCCTTCTAGGCATCACTGCTTAGCACTGATGTGCCTAGGACGGTATCAGAGCTTGAGCCTGTGTCAGAGGAGAAATACTGACATCAGCAGAAGCAGCCTTTGGGTTATTTAATATGGAGTTTATGAGTTCACTGTTGCTGCTGTTTTGTTCTAGGTCTGGGCACCAAACTCTTGCAGGTTGCTACACTGGGAAGCTGGGAAGCAGAACCTCCCCCGAAGGATTCACAGCACCATCCACATCAGCATCGCTGCAGCTGTGGGCTCCTTGTCTCCTCTGCAAGTGTCTCCTCAGGGGATGTTTCTGCTAACAGGGCTGTGCAAGTCAGGTAAGTTTCCCCAGTCAGAGCAATACCCTGAGCTGGGCAGTGCTTGCCCTGATCTCTGCTAAGCTGTCCTTTTATTCCTCTCTCCCCAGACTGAGGAGCTCTGGGCAAACAGGATTTGCCATCTCCAGTCAGAGGCAACAAAACTGTTTCCTGCACAACCTGAACTGGCAGCTGCAGGTGTCTAAACTCGGAGGGAAAAGGGCAGTAGGGAAGAATAAAGACAGAGGGATAGAGGCAACCCCACCACATAGTCTTAATGCATTTCTTTTTTCCTGGAAGAGCTGCCCCGAGCACTGGGATCTCTCCTTTGCTCTCTGAGAGTTGGTGGCTCACGCCTGTCAGTTCATAAGGATCACGGGTAGCTCTGAGAGCATCTCAGAGGGTGAAATCTCTTCCTTCCCCTCTCTCCAACTCCGATCTGCCATGCTGGAGCTGGTACATGCCATATGTGCCCTGTCCCCATGAGTCACAGCCAGCAGAGTCCAGCTCTCCTCCCCATAACAGGCAGAGCTTGGCCTCTGGCTGCTTCCTTGGCTCTTTCCATCACAGGCCTTGTTTCATCTACATCTCAACTTTGCCAGAAGTGAACAGTTTGAACCGAAATTGCCCACACTGATTATCCCTTTTGGGTTTTCAGTCAAAACCTTTCTGGTGTTTCCACTGGGAACAGCCAGCTGCACTGGGAAGGGAAAGGCTGAGGAACTGAGGGGCTGGAGGAGGGGATTGGGCATGGAGGGAGAGAGGTTTGCAAGAGGCAGGGAAGCAGATACAGGTGCTGTGATCTTGACTGTGCATTGTGTTTCAGTGGCTGCCACAGGATTGTGCAAAAGTGGAGAGAGGTGGTGCAGGAGAACCAGAGAAGCTTCAGCCCCAGCCCACCTTCCTTGAGCAGATGTTTCACTGCCACAATTCTGGAGGCAAAGTCATGAGAGCTGGGGCAGGAGAAGAGCTGCTGAGTTGCTCAGCAGCCAGCAGGATGGCCTGTTGCCTCCCTCCTTGGCAGCTGTGTGTGGTGGGGCCCCCCCAAAACGTGATGGAAGGTTGGGATGTGGCTCCTTCCAGGGAACCCTGGGTGGCATATAGCTACATTTAATTACGTGGGGCTTGCAGAGTACAGTACAGAATTTGAGGTATTTTCTCCTCCATGGGCTTGTTCCAGCCTGGATTCACATGCACACAGCACTGACCTCAGGGCTTAGATCAGTGAAGGCAGCAGCAAGTGTGCAATTCTCCTTCCAGGGGGTAAAGGATAGGTATGGTTCATGCACAGCTCAGATGATGGCTTTTCCAGGCTTCTCCTCTTGCTTGGTCTGTATTGCTGACAAGAGTGTCACAGGACATCTGCCTGCAATGGGAGAGAGAAAGTAACTATTCTTATGCATGTGGTACCCTTGAAAGTTGCCTCAGCAAATCAATGAGCACAGAGAAATGACCCTCATTGCTGGGGCAAAGCTGCAAATCAGGTCAGTCTGGAGCAAGAACAAATACTTCTCTGGTGGATGCAGCTTTCCTCCTGACATAACTCTTCTGCAGGTATACAAAGACTTTCATCTGCAGGACTGTAATTTCAGTGTTTTTCATTGGAAGTTACGTTTCTGCTTTAAGTTAAAAAGAAGAGCCAGTGCTCTTGGTTCAGACAATGGCAGAAGACTTGACTTGTGTATCTATGGGGGTTTTTTTCCTTATAGAGTGTGAAGGAAAAGAGTCTTGTTCTATAAGTGTAATCCAACTGACACGAAGTGGCCAAAATGTGAGTGGAAGTAGAAAAGAAAAAGAGGAAAAGAAATTGTATGTATACTAATTTTTTTTTCTTGCCATTTCCACCATCTGACTTACAAAGGTAATGCAAAGGCTGCACTTCCATCCCAGGCTGTGATGCCAGAGCTGGGTATTGCTATGATAAGCAGTTCCCAATTTAACTGAAAGGGAGGGCACAATAGTGCAGAGACAAAGCAACAAAATGTGCAGTTTTTACTTAAGCGTTTCATTCCTGCAGTTCCTCTTGCCAGATTGTTTTCTTCTTTTTTCCAAGTCTCCTCTTTTATATTTCACCTTGGAGCTGGAGGGCTGGCTCAGCCCAGCTGCCCAGAGCTGCTGTACGCTCACACAAACCACAGCCAGATGAGCCCAGCCTGGCTTTGAAACGCATTTTTGCTAAAACTCTGCCATTTCTAGGTCTCCCCCTCCAGTATCAGCCCTCGCTGGGTGCCCACAGAAAGCTTTTGTCTCTCCAGACCTGCCGGGCTCGACCCGGCAGTGAAGGCTCCAGAGGCAGGTGTCCCGATTTCCAGGCAGGCAGGGAGCAGCCCGGCTGTGGAAAGTGATAAGCCCTTGGTCAGCACAGCGTTTATCTCCCCAGCAGTGGCAGCAGCAGACAAGAACAGCGTGTCCTTGACCCAGACAGGCGCTGGGCACGCCAGGCTGCTGACAGCTGAGCTGGGGAATGCTATCCCAAATCCCAATCCCTATGGGAGCAGCAGCAGAAGTGCTCCCCTGGGGAGCAAAGGAGCTCCAGACCCCAACCAGCAGCCACTCACTCGTCTGGTTCAGCCTTTGGGGTGATGCCACCTCACATCCCTGACTCCTGGATGTCTCACAGGGACCATGACTCCCAAATACAGGAGGGGATGGACAGCCTGGCACTAAGCAGCAGTTCTGGGTTGCTAGAGGGAAACTGAGGGAGGCACTGTGTGTGGCCTTTCATTTTCTTCTTGTTTTTCCCCCCTTGTCTGTTTTCTGGAAAAAATAAAAGCCCTTTAATTGTGCGAGTTACCATCTGGAGGTCAGGCCGCTGTGAACAATAAAGCTTAGGTTGTAATTATATTTATTCTGGGTAGGTTTCTGCTTGCAACTCATTTTAATGCCTTGGGCCTCCCTGGTACGTTCAGCTACAGGAGCAGAGTTAATTGGAGGCGTCTGGCTCAAATACTAAAGGTTACTTGAAACCTGCAATTTCGGACAGATTAAAGAAATCTGTGAAAGCACTCAAATGAACCACAGATCCTGAAGTGCACCCATAGTACAACTTCTATTAGCTTGCAGTAGACCACAGACATGGAAAAATGCTTTCAATGAATATTGGTTGAGGAAAAAGCTAAGCATTTGTGATTTACAAAGTACCTGTGGCAATGAATTGAGCTGTCGGCCACGACACAGCCTTGCCTTCCTTACTGAAGCAACTGGGCTATGGTTTACAGCACCTATGGAAAGATTTGGCAGGGTGAGGAATTATCTTTAACGTCTTTAGGAGAATCTTAGCTGAAAAACACCCTCCCCTCACTCATTAACCCCTCACTCCAGTCCTCTCCCCACTCTTTTGTCCCATTCTGGAGATCAATTCTCTGCGCACTCTCCTGGGGGCTGTGATGAAGCAAAAACGATGGCTGCATTCATCTTCAGGCATCATTTCCCCCCCATTGCCACCACATCCTTCAGCATTACAGAAGCCTGGCATGGCTTGTTCCCTGAGATGAGCCACTAATGCCATGAGCTGTGAAGACAGAGGGACTGGGAGGCAGCTGAGCATGGACCAGGCTTGTGCCACAGTGTCTGGACTCAGTCCTAAAGTTTAGTGTGGGAAGGGCTTTCCCTGAACAGCAGAGACACAGCAAATGTCTCCCTCCATTCTGGCATGAGACTGTGAAGATGACAGGCATCCATTAGGGATGAGGGGGAAGGGGTGTAAAGGCAGCTTGCTTAAAACCAGTTGTCACATCGGAGGGAACAGCTGGCAAGTCAATGTGTGATTAAGCTTGACCCAGCAGTTGGTCCTGACCCCATGTGGGCATGATGTCCTTTCAGGGAGGAGAAGCATGCCCAGGCTTTGTGGGCTAACAGGCTCAGAAGATACCATCTTCCTTTTGTCCCACATCTCTCTGAGTTTTGTATACGCTGCTTTTTGTGGTTGGGGGTTAAAGAACAAAAGGAACTGTTTTAAACACAGAGTTTGTTCAACGTGTCCATCTCACGTTCGTGGTATGCTGAGCTGGCCAGGCTGTGCTGAGGTCAAGAAGTGAAGTTAGTTTTGGTTGTGCATTGAAATTTATCAGTAGAATAAGGATAAATATTCTGGCAATGGAAGGCCCACCTCAGTTCCGTTGCTGAGAAGGCTTTTCCTGGGATAGATTCTGCTTCCAGAGCCTGAACAGAAAGAACCGGCTCAAAAGAGGAGTCAGGGGAGACCAGAGGTTCCTTTTAATATCTTGTCAGTAAATACTGTGTGCTCAGACACATGGTATGAGACACAGAAAAAATTCAGTGTGTCACCCACAAATCTGCGATTTTCTCTTTTGCTAGTTCTGATCAGAATTTTTCTGAAATGGTGAAGAAAGCTCCTTTTATTCTGATACTTTTGTCTATTGCCCTTTAGGAAATTTCAGTCAGCTGTGCCATTTTGCCTTTTATCCCATAACTCTGTTGCTTTGACATTCAGGTTATGGACCAGGAACACACACTGACACCAGTGACAGCCATTGTTTTCCTTACAATGCTTGGGTCACGAACCAGTAGGAGAAAATTGGCATTCAATTCATGAGAACTGTTGCAAAATTCCAAATGCTGCAAAGCAAATGCCCCATCTCTCTTCTGGGTTCTCGTGTCTCAGGGTCTGTCTGGTACTGTAAGAATTTTGCTGGGACTCACCAAGCTACCTAAATTTATTTTATTTTATTTTATTTTTTTATATGAATGCTGGCTTTGTCTGGATATTCTGTGGCAACAGTGTCAACATTAAGGTGAAAACTACTGGAGGAGAGGAGAGCACGGGGAGACAATAAAGAAGAAAAGAGAATGGAGCGGAGATGTGAGCAAAGGAAAAGGCAGAAGTAGGTGATTAAAAAGAGATGCCAATGACAGCAGCAGAAGTGTGGGAGAGGCAAGTGCAACTCAACAACCCCAGTCCACAGAAGGAAGAAAAATAACTTCTCCTTAACCCCAGCACTGGGGTGAGTGGGGTGTGCATTTATACCATAGATGGCTAAATAATTAAGTCCAGTAGCATAAACTGTCCTTATTGTTAACAAAGGCTTGAAATCCTCTGCTCTAAGACCATCCAGCCCTTTGAGACCATCCATCCCAAACCCCATTTATTCTTGTTGTATTAATAGAAGCAGCTCAGGAAGCCCTCATCCCAGCACGGTTTCAACACTTTATGCAGCAGGGGGTCTTAATGGGATCTCTTCCATCCAGGGGGCCATTAGCTTCCCTCCTTGTCTCTCCATTTCCCCCTTTCTAATAAAATACTAGTCTAAACACACACTGGGGTGTTAAGAGGAGTGCTTTCTGCACTGGATGTGTGTGAAGTAGCTCTGACTTGTTTTAGACTTTAGCTTTAAATAGTTGCACCCATGTAGAAAAAAAAAGGAAAAAAAAAACCAACCCAAACCCTTCTAGGGAAGTCTGAATGAACCAGGTGCTGGTTTTCTCACTGCTGCATCACCACTTTTGTTTTTCTGACCCCTCTGTCACTTACTCTCAGCCTGCTGTCTCATGTCAGGGACACTTGGTACCTGTTGACAGTTTCCATCACACCCTCTTGCTGGGTCTGATCTGCAGCTGGGCATGGCTCTGGGGTGTGTGAGAAGCATTTCAGATGGCCTCAGCTGGAGGACGTTGTTTCTTATGCCATACTTGGTAGATGGGAAACATCTGTGCCAATTATACATTAAAAAATTGTTCCTTAGCACCCCTGAACAGGACTCGGTGTCTGGGGGCTTGAGCCAGGCTGAAGACACCATCATCTTTTTGGGTTTGAAAAGGCAAAGAAATAGTGACTGAAAGCAACATCAGTTTGATTTCGTATCATTTTGTGCCCAGTTGGCACAAGTGGCCAGGACTACAGACAGGACAGGTCTCATCAGAAAGATACTGATGTTTATGAAGTTCTTAGGGACACTTTTCCAAATGAATCTATAGTTGTGCAAAGAATGAATACTTGGTAAAAAGATTTCTATTTGTGTGTTTTGGTTTTTTTTCTTCCTTGGCCTGCATGTTGACTGCCCTCTTATTCCAGCTGTCCTGTCTGATCATTTGCAAACTAACCTGGCACAGTGAACTTTTGGACTTTCTCCTTTTCTGCCCCGGAAAGAACAGGCAG